AAGGCCACTGGGCAGGGCAGCAGGTGCACACCTTTGTCTAGCCTCGGTGCCCCCTCCCACAAAAGCCGAGCCCGGGGCAGGGGTGGAGCCCACCAGCCTCCCCCAAAGCACTTTGCGGGAGGTGCCTGTGGGAAACCTTGGGGGAAATTGTCCAGACTCTGGGAGGAGGGGAGGGGCTGGGGCTGCCTCCTGGCAGCTCTGGGAGGCCAGGTCACTTCCTGACAGCGCAGTGTCTGGGAGGTTTGGCTCAGGGGACGCCATGTGTGGCATCATCTCCAGGAGCTTAGGCCCGGCATGACTTCAAAAGAGTGCTGGCTGAGGCACAGGAAACTCCTTTTGAGAATAAATCTTGCCTCGTGTGAAGCCGGAGCGGGGGTGGGGAGAGGCAGGAAGCTTAGCCAGGTGGGCTTTGGGGGCCACGTGGCCTGGCCTGAGCGCCGGCGCTGATCTGTGTGACTGTGGGCAGCAGGCTGCACCCAGCTCGGCTCTCAGGTGAAGCAAGCGGGGCAGGCGCTCGGTGGGTTACGGGGAGTAAATGAGACAGTGCAGGTAAGGCGCACAACCCGGGCTAACCTATTTATTAACGCTGCAAGTGCTTAATAAATGGTGGCTTTGAAAAATAAAGCAATTGCTAACAGCAGGCTTAGCACGAGGATTAGCTTCAAGCAAGAGTGCGATCCTGGGTGCACCCTGGGGAGTGGGGGGCTAAGAGAGAGGGGAGGGGGGGCCCCTGGGTCTGACTTCACCGGTGGCCCAGCTGCTGCAGGCCTGTGCTCCGGCTTTTCCTTTCTTGCACTCGTAACCAGCGCACGCCACAGTCTGTAGGTACGAAGGTTCGAATCCACTCTGACGGGATCCCATAATGCCCATTTAACCCCATTTAACAGACAATGAGGCTGAGGCCCAGCCCTGTGCAATGCTTTGCTCAAGGTAGATTTGCTATGCCGGAGGGCCTGCTGGCTTCGGGGGTGCAGTGGGCACGGCTGCGAGCCATTGTGCAGATGCTCCAAGTTTCCTAGTCCACCCCAGGCCTCCTTCGGGTTCAGTCACTCAACAAACATTTACCGTCACTGCCCTGCTAGCTGTGTGTTGGGGTGTGGGGACGTGGAGATGAAGCAGGTGTGATCCATGCCCTGGAGGGACTGCCAGCCACCAGCAGAGGTGGGCGTGGCTGAAAGTGGGGGATGACTGACAAATGCAATGTTGGCAGCGAAGTGTCGTGGCAGTCCAGGGCAGGGGAACAAGTTCCTGAAGCTTTGGGGTACGCCCCATGCCCCCCAGCCCACCTGCAGCGAGTGCTCTGGGCTGGGAATCTGCTTGAGATTTTAAAAGTTGGGAGTGGCAGCCTGCTTCCTGGGAGACCTGGGTCGTGGAGCTCTGGGCTGCACGTGGCCGTCTGCTGTGTCCACACCAAGCACTGTCCTCCTCAGACCAAGGGAGGCCCTCCGCAAAGGAGGACTTTGGAGGGAGCCTGGTGAGACGGGTTGAGTCCTGACGAATTAGCCCTGACCACTCCCCCCACTCCCTGACATGCATCGTGTGTCCAGCTCCTCCCTATAACATGCATGTGGAATTCACACCACATCCTGCCTTCAAGGCTCTGAACTGTTGAATGTTCAGAATCTCTCCTGTTATTTTAGTCTTATAGGATTTTTCCCTGATAAGATCCCAACCCTGTAACCAGAACCCCTTTTCGAGCAGACCTCTGGAAGCCCCTCTTTGTAGAATTACAACCCAGAAAGGATAGCACATAAAGCCCGGACACTCTTGCTGACTTCCGTGCATCTGAAAGCCCTCGACTCTGTTCAGCTGCGTCCTCTGCCTGCCTGGGGCCCACGCGCTGCTCCGTCTCTCCCGCCTTTCGGGCTCATCCACGGCTCTGGGTGGGCAGAGTGTGAGGTTTCACTTCCCTGACCCCCAGGAGCAATCTGATGTCAGGATTTGCCGATCCTGTTTATTTATCCTCTTGTTCATTTTCGAAAATGTGTTGGGGAGCAAAGATGGCTGAGGCTCCTCCCTGTGCCAGGCCTCCTGCTGGGGCCGGAGTTAGGAAATGAATCGGGTGTGGCCTGTAGCCTTGAGGAGGTCACAGTGCCCTGTAGCCTTCAGGGACGGCCAGCAAGTGGATGGACAGTTCAGATCAGCCCAGGATGGTGAGTGCTGGGAATGGGCCAGCACGTGCTGTGGGAAGACTGAGGAATCTTCACCAGCTTGTGGCTGGTAGGCAGGGAGAGCTTCTTGGAGCAGGTGCTGACACCTGAGCTGAGCTTTGGAGGATACACAGGGATTTGCCAAGTGAAGAGGGAGGAAAAGGCATAAAAGGTAGCACGTGCAAAGGCACTGAGTCAGATGTGCTGAGATACAGGTGGCTCTACGGAAACGTGGAGTGTGCGTGTGCATGTGTGTGACATGGGGAAGGGGAAGGCGGGGGCCTGGTGAGAGATGAGGCTGGATCATGAAAGGGCCTTACATGTACATGCTAAGGAGCTTGGAATTTATCCCAATAGCCGAGGGGAGCTATTGAAAGGGATTTTAAGCAGGGGAGCGCCATGATCAGATTTGCGTGCTAGGAGGATCACCCTGGTAGCCTTGTGGAAGGTGGATTGGAGGGTCCAGAGCTGCAGGCAGAGAGATCAGCCAGGATTTCTTGGGATTTTCTCTGTGATTTTACAAATCCATTGAGGCTGGGGCCAGGGGGGTGGCGGGGGGTGGTGGCGGCAGACACAGCAGCTTAGAAAATAAAAGCTCTGGAGACTGGTCTGAAATGGCTTCCCGATTCAGAGTTTTATTCCACCTTCATTTGCTAATTAGCCTAGCGAGCCTGCCACCCCCAGAGCAGCCTGAATGGCCAGGGGTGTGCCGTGTTTCCAGATCTCTGCCCTCCCTGAAGACCTCAGAACCTGGGGCCCTCAGCATTTAATCAGAGAGGGTCGTGCAGGTCTGGACCACTTTGGATCTTGGTAACAAGCCTCTCCAACCTGCCTGGGGCCTGCAATGCCAGACCCCCGGAGCCCAAACATTGTCTTTCTGCTCACACCCGGCTGTCTGTCCCCGGCACACAGAGCGGCCATTGAGCGGCCGCACAGGCCTGGCGGGGGTCCCAGGCCAAGTTAGTTATGGGCAGTGGCTTAGTCACGCTTCTAGGGGTCTTTTTCTTCTGGGACAAGCCTGCCCTTGTGCTCAGGGCTTCCCTTGCACAGCAGCCTGGCTCGCGGCAGCTGCAGAGCCCTCTGCCAAGCCTCACAGCGTACTTGACAGGCGCCGCCAGTGGGAGCCGAAGCCCAGAGGGAGAGCTGAGTCCTGGGGAGCGGAGGGGCCCATGGGAGGCCGCTCGGGGCACCTTCCGCCTTCTCCGCACCAGCCTCCGTGTGCAGGTGCACGGCCCAGGCGCCGCCTGTTCCTCGAGTCCAGGGGGCCTGGGAAGACCACATGAGCCCCCGCCTCCCTCGTCCCCCTCCTGTGTGAAAGCCGAGACCACCCTCTGCAGAAGCTCCTTCCAAAGCGTGGCTCACTGTCCCAGTGCACCCTGGGAGTCAGCTGATTGTGTGCGTGTATGGAGCACCTGCTGTATACTTCTGCCTGGGCAAGGTGCACGTACGTGGGGTGGCGTCTCATTACAGGCTGGGCCATGTCGTAGGTGGGAGTACGGTGTCCGAATGCAGACTGGTCAAAACCTTGGCTCTTCTGTTTACCACCTGAGTGACTTGGGGAAAATTAATATGCCTCCTTCTGCCATGATGTCCTCCGCTCTAAAAAAGTGATGTTATATTTTCTACTGCTTTGGTTGTCATGAGGGTTAAGTGACATGATACGAGAGCCTGGCACATAGTAGGGACTCAATACAGACCCGCTACTCTCTACCCTCGTTTCTATTGCTGTCATCACCAGATCCTCCCTGCTACTCACGGGAGGGCTGTTAGCCACATTTTACAGATTAGGAAGCCGAGGCCCAGCGAGGTGAAGCACCCTGCCCATGGCAGAGCTGGGATTCGAACCCAGCTCCGTCCGGTGCTTCCACAACACAGCTGCAAACCTGGCCCCTTTGGCAAATCAAGCAGGGGGTGGGGGTGTCCTGGGGAGGGGTGGTGGACCCTCCCATTAAATCTAAGTGCTCTTTCTCCGCCTTTCCAGATTCCTGAGCCGGGAGATGAGGGGCGGGAAAGCCCAGGGATGGAGAAGCCTGTGAGCCCCGGGCGGAGGCTGCCGCCGCAGGGCCCCGGGGCTGCTGGCGATGAGTGATGGTGCGCGTGGACAGCGCTGCCCGCCGAGCAGGAGCAGTGACCCCGGGAGAGCCTCGGCCGGGGCCAGGATTCAGCATGCGGGGGTGACGGCTCCAGAGGCCCCGGCCTCCCCCCGACCCGGGCGTTAGGAGCCATCCCCGGGCTCCACCCGGGAGCCCTGCCGCCCAGGGGCATGGCCAAACCTTTCTTCCGACTCCAGAAGTTTCTCCGCCGGACGCAGTTCCTGCTGTTCTTCCTCACGGCCGCCTACTTGATGACGGGCAGCCTGCTGCTGCTGCAGCGGGCCCGAGTGGGCCTCCCCCAGGGCCCCCGGCCGCCCGGCCCCCTGCAGGCCTTGCCGGTGGCCGCCGTGGCGCTGGGTGTGGGCTTGCTGGACGGCAGGGCCCTGCGGGGGGACGCCCGTGTCACCCCGGAGCTGCTGCTTGGCGTGGACGTGCTGCGCGCCCCGCTGGCCCGGACCAGGCCCGGCCCCCGCTGGCTCCGGAGCCGCAACACAGAGCTGCGCCAGCTGCGGCGCCGCTGGCTCCACCACTTCATGACCGAGCCCCCGGGGCCGGCCGCCATGGTCCTGCAGGCTCCCCCCAGGCCCGCCACCCGCAGCCGAGGTAGGTGCCCGCTGCGTGTCCGGGAGCCGCTCCCACGCGCCCTGCTCAGCGTCTCGGGGCCGGTGTCCCCGTTCTCCCTGGCCCTGCAGCAGCAGCAGCAGCAGCAGCAGGAGGCGCTGCAGGGCCATGGCCTCCGCAGGCCGTTCCTTCCCTGCGCCTCTGCAGGAGGGGGGGGGCCCTTTGCTCACGCGGCTCCCGGCCGAGATGTGTGAGCCGGTCGCTCAGAGCTCCGGCCGCGGGTGTAGACAGGCCTCGCCTTGAGTCCTGGCTCAGCCACAACCCTGTTGGGTGACCTTGGGCATGTCACTTGGCTTCCCTGGGTCCCTCTGCAGTGGAGGTAGAGACACCCACCCCAGGGTCACCGTGAGGAGTAAGCGTGGTGGTCTAGAGCAGCGGTTCGCAGGGCGGGCGCCCGACCAGCGGTATCAGCTTCCGTGCAGGAACCGGTCATCAGCGCAGATTCCCAGGTTCTTCTGGAACCACCTCGGGTGCTCTGGGGTGGGGCCTGCAGCCTGTTTTGAATCCCTCTCCAGGGGCTCCGGGGGCTCGCTGACTCTGAGAGCCGCTAGGACAGAGCAGCTGGTGTATTACTGGGTACTCTAACTGGCACCTGGCGTTACTTACTAAAAGTGGTTAACTCGTGTAGCATCGACTGTGCACCTGTACGTCTACTATTTGCAGGCGTTAGTATGTCCCAGTTTTACAGGTGAAGAAACTGAGGCACAGAGAAGTTAAATAAATCGCCCAGCTCATTGTCTTAGCTTGAGTTCCCTAGAAGCAAAGCCCGAAAGGAAGACTCAAGTGCACTAAGTGTATCTGGGATGTGATTCCAGGGAACCCTGGTCGGGGCGTGAGAAGTGAGACGGAGAGGAGGACAGCCACGAAAGGTGCGTTTTGAGTAGGTTACCACCGGGCCGCCAGGGCTTAATCCAGCGGGGGACTCGGAGCTGGAGTAGAACACACGTCCCAGGGTGCAAGCTGGAAGCGGCAGGCCGGGGGGGACAGGGGCAGGGCAGCATCCACCGGAGTCACACTGCCGGATTCCAGCATGGGGACATCCGGCTCCGGGTTGGAGCTCTTTGCAGGGAATTATGCAGACTCTCTGTGCAGGGCCAGCAAATGCGACTGGCGCTCGGTGAGCACCCAGGAAGTGTGGAAGTTGTTGGGTGGTGATTGAGCTCAGTCCGCTTCCCTGTAGCCACCGTGCTGGGCCCTGGACCCCGAGTCACGAGAGGAACTGCTCTCTCGACTGTGATAAGTGTGGCTGGGGCGTGGAGTGCCCAGTGGCAGAATGAGAAAGGAGATGAGGCAAGAGGGTGTCAGGGCCTGGGTGAGGGAGGGCCACGAGAGTCAGGCCTGGGAGTTTACCTTTATTCTGAGCATGATGAGAAGGTTCCAGGGAAGAGAAAGGAGCCCAAGCTCCTTACCTTAAGAGGATGACTGGTAGCCCGGTAAAAAAAAGACTGGAGGGCTCTGGGCTCTTGTCTCCCTGGAAGGAAGTTTCTATAGAAACCATCTAGGTCATAGCCCTTGCCATAGGATTCCTCAGGAAGGCTTTCATGGGGAAAGGGAGAAATGAGGAACTGATGCTGCAGCTCATTTTGCACAGGTATGATTTCTGCAAACTCTCCCCAACACACCAAGAAACTGGCTCTCTATGAAGGTTCCACCAGTGCCACTTATTTAGACTAAAGTGTAAATGGCTAATGAAAGTTAACATGGATTTCTTGAGGGGAGACCATATAAAGAGCACAAGTTTTGAAAACAGGCATGGATTCTTATCTTGGCCTTGGGTAAATTCACCTGCCTCAATTCCTTTCTTCATTTCTATCATCCCACACTGACTAAGGATCCACTGCATGAGTATCCTTGCATGCTCCTCACTGTGCTCTTGAGGAGCTCAGTCTGGTGGCGGAATCAGATATATGCACCCCAGTGACTCCTGCAAAGCACGACTGAGATGTGCTAGAGGCAAGTGCAAGGGGTGTGACCAGCAGAGGGGAGGACTCAGGGTGACCCAGCTACAGCCCTGGGTGTGCAAGTATTTATGTCTAAGAGAACCAGTGGGCAGCCCTTTACTGTAAGTTACCCCCAGAGACTTAAAGAACTAATGGAAGGCGCTCTAGTAAAAGCCAGAGAGATTATGGTTAGATGTCAGCAGGACTGATACCCAACTTTATAAACCAGTATGGTCTTTACAGTTGTTAAAATATTGAAATACCTCCATGACTGTTGATAAACAGTCACTGCCCTGGTCCCCTGGGGTGCCCTCTATACTTTGCCTCCCCAGTGACCCCCACACCTCCCCATAACCCAGCAAGGAAAGGGTTAACATGATTCCAGTGCTGAATGGTGGAATTCTGAATGGTCAGTGCCCCCCATAGATTGTTAGATATTTTGTGCCCCAGGATTTAAGGAAGAATTTGCTGTCCGTGCACAATCTGCAAACCAAGTCTGGGGGGTGGGGTGGGGAGGGGGCCGTGTGGTCTCATGGCTGGAGGTCACCAGAGAACAGAAGAAGGCAAGTGCTGGCCTGAAACCTCTCTGGGGGCCCCTTCCCCTCCTGGGGCTCCAAGGGTCCTGCCTGGCCAGGTGGGCCTTGCTGGGGGAGAGCAGCCCACGGCTCAGCCCTCGGGCCAGCTGCCGGGGTTGCAGACAAAGCAGGCGTCTCTTTGTGGCCGGGCAGCCCGCCATCCTCCTGAAAGGGGATCCTGCAAGGCGTGGAAGCTGCAGGAGGCCCCATCAATCACCGAGCATTTCATTATACCTTGGACAACATCCATAATGGAATAAAATGTCAGTAAGTTTACTAGGGGAAAAATAGTAACTTCTCCATAGCCAGTTTGTTTTTTATTGATAGTAATTTCCAAAGACATTCCAATATCTTCAAAGCCATCGTTAATAGCCTCACGGCATGTCCATTTTGATGTGCAAATGAACAGATGCAGAGTCACAGACAATAATGCAATGCCTCCATTTCAGCCGAAAGTAATAAATCCGCCTCAGAATGCGTCCCAGTGTACCCCTCGGAAGTTCTTTCTTCCCTGCACATTCTCGCCTCTGTCAGGGAGTTAGGAAAGCCATTCATTCTGTTTCCAGATAAAAGAGCTCCCCTCCTCCTCCCTAATGGAGGGGCCATCTGTGTCTCAGGCCCCTGCCACACACTGAGACGGGGCTGGCCAGGCGTGGGCTTCCTGTCCACGCTGGTCAGTGCCATCGAATGGCCAGCTGGTCACGGGGCAGCCACTCCTTGTTTTCAGAAGAACCGGAGCCTGACTGCTTGAGACCATTCTTCCTCTCTCTCTTATTAATGTGTTAGTTATTCAGCTAATATTTACCGATCCATCCATCACACGTCCCAGGTTAGAGTGTAGGATCAGAATAATAATAGCCGTTACTTACTCGAACATCTGTTATGGGCCAAGCATTGTTTTGTATCGATGTACATCTGTTATCTCATTTAATTTAATCTTCGAACGGCTTGTGATGCAAGTGGTGCTATCACCATTTTAATGATGAAGAATTTGAGTTTCAGGGAAGTAAAGTAGTTTAAAAATGTTTATTATTAATAACGATGCATTAACAATAAAAGCAGTCACTACTGAGTACTTACTGCACGCCAAGCCTTGCATTAGGCGTTTTACGTGTGTTATCTTATGGAATTCCCACAAATACCCCCGTGGAATGGGTACCATATACCCATTTTACAGATGCGAAAGCAGAGGCTCAGAGAGGCAGCACATCCAGTTAGTGGTGGAGACAGGATTTGAACCCGAGTCAGCCTGTTCTCAAAGGCTATTTCCATTCACTGCCCCAGACATGGGCGCCTGCCAGCGTCAGCCTTAGAAGGTCTTAAGCTCGGACACCTTTAGAACCTCAGGGCTAATTTCCAGTCTACGGTGATGAATGTTTACCAGTCCCTGAGCTTGTGCTTTGGATGTTTAATTGAAAGCTAGAATGGAATTTCTTCTTTGCTGAGCAACACATCAGAAATTTCTCAAATATTAGTGTTCTTTTACTGAGCAGGCAGGCAGAGTGACCTGGGCAGGAGCTTCCTGCCGCGGTCCATGCTGGCCGTGGTGGTCCTGAGCCCGACAGAGGGGAGGCCGGCTTGCGAGGCCGGGTATCAGGGCAGCGGTCCTCAGCAGACGGGTGTAGCCCGCACCTGTGGCCAGCACACCCGTGTGGTCACGTGTGCTGATGGGCACCCCCAGGGGGAAGGTGGCTGCAAGAGGCTCAGAGCCTGGCAGGGGGCCTGGCTCTTCAGCAGACGTTGAAGAAGGTAGCCGTTGCTCCCCCCTCAGCCCAGGTGTTCTCTGACCTGAGGGTCTCTGGGTCCCTTGGGTCTAGGTGTGGTGGGAAATCCAGTCTCCTGCCATCTTGGCCGGTCTCCGCTCTGCCTTTCTTAAACTCGGGCCTTGGGGGCCGCACCTTGGTGCATCCATCAGACCTTCCCCTCCTGGCGTGCGGGCTTTCTGCTCCTCCCTGTGCGCCTCAAGCAGACCAGCATGGTTTGTAGGAGCTGCAACCCACTGTCCACAGTGAGGTGTTGGCGTGGACCTTGTGCCTAACCCTGGGGGGTCACTACTATGGTGAAAATGTGGCCCCTACCCTCCAGGAGCCTGCAGTCCTACTGCAGAGACAGGACACACAGATATACAAGGTTTTAAACAACAGTTGATGACAAGGGTTCAGCCAACACACACATTTTGCATAAGAATCTAGAGAAAGGGGAGGCCCTGGCCGGGTGACATGGTCAGGCTCAGAGATCAAAGCCTCCAAGGACGGGTAGGAAGCAGAGGATGGCCTTGCAGGGAGCAGGGACAGGTCCAAATGTGGGACGAGAGAAATAACTTTGAGCACAGTGAGGCAGGGAGGAAGGTGGGCGTGTGCCCATTTGACAGCTGAGGAAACTGAGGCACAGACAGTGGAAGTGACGTAGCTGAGGTCAGAGGTGGAATTGCGTGTAGTGTTCACAGACAGAAAAGTCACTCTCTGATCTGGGCCCCAGCAGTGAATGCTCGGCAGACCCAGGTGGCCTGAGCTGCTGCCGTGGGCCGGATGCTCAGCAGGAGTAAAGATGAGCCTCCTTGTCCTCACAGCGCTGCCCAGAGATGGCCTGATGTCTCCGGCGGCTGCGGCACGCTCCACAGGTGACATGGAGGAGCCAAGGCAGAGAGTCCCACGGAGAGGTGCCTTTATCACAGGTGCCCAATCCAGACCTCGGCACAGCTACTGTGGGTGTGCGCGTTCACAGCTTGGGGACTGTGCAACGGCATGTTTGCAAATTCCCAACATGCCGCTCCTTCAAAACACTGGTGCGCGTGACATTTACATGCCTGATGCCGCGTCTGCACTGTGCTCGTGTTCTCCGAGCTCCTCCGTGCATCTCTGGGACACGTCTCCCTCCCTCGGGGCAAGGCAGGGCTGTTACAGACCCCCACTGGTGCGTGCTTGGTTGGGTTTGCACTGCCTCTGCTTCCTAGAGTGACGTCCCCCAGTGTCCCCTTCCAGGGATGTGCCCCAGGTAGCTAGCCTGCAGGGGCCTCCACGGTCACTTGGTCCTGTCGAATCCTGCACGGGACACCTCTCTTACACTCGCAGATATTGTGCACACACTCCAGCAAATGGGGACTTGATCCCTCCTGGGACAGCAAATATTTTTCTTGGAATAGTTCTCCCTGTTTGAAAGATCTTCCTCAAATTAGCTAAACGCAGACTTGCCCTAAGTAATGTGTTCCCGCCGGCCCACAAGGAGTCCGCAGAATCTGTCTCTAAGGACGTGGGCCAGGGAGGGCTGGAGTCCACCGGAGGTAATTGAGCCATCCGAACTTGTGCTCTGGGGGTGGTGGAAGAAAGAGGTGGTCAGGCTGACACCAGGCAGGGCTGTCCAAGTGGTTCATTAGCTGTGAAAAGGGGCAGGAAATGAGCAAGAGGGAGGCTCAGCACTGAGGGGAAGGTTGGACCACGGCCCTCACCCCCTGGGCTTCTCTGCGAGGGGCCTTGGCCAGGACAGGAGAGGGTCCCTTGCCTTTTCCACGACTGGGCCCCCTACCTCTGTCTCCCGGGACTCTGACCTCGGCCTTGCATCCTTCCCTGCAGGCACGTACGTTGGGTGCTTCAGCGACGATGGCCAGGAGAGGACTCTGAAGGGGGCTGTGTTTTACGACTTGAGAAAGATGACCGTCTCCCACTGCCAGGACGCATGTGCTGAGCGGTGGGTGCTGGGGCCCCGGTCTGTTGACCCTGCTGAGTAAGGTCGGAGACAGTCCCAGAAGGAGGTGGCACCTGGCCGCCAGTTGGCTGTCACAGTGTAATTAGACCTCATTGATCAGATCCCAGTTGTCCAGAAGGAAGAACATTTGTTGGCAGGTGGCCTGGGCACCAGGCCGGTGTCAGGAGAAGTGGCTTCCGGTCCAGCTGTACCAGGGACTTGCTGCGTGGCTTTGGCGCGTTCTTTTCCTTCCCTGGGCCTCAGTTTACTCATATGTTTCCAATACATTAAAGACCTTTAACTTAGGTTTCTCTGAGGACCTTTTCAGCCCTGTTAGGAAACGTATTTCTATCATGTGTTTATAACAAGATTTGCTTTTTCTGATACTGCCAGCTCACCCAGGAGTTACCTGACACTTGTCATGTGCCAGGGAATGGTCCCTAATGCCCAGGCAGTCACAGTCGACTGTGTTTGTGCACGAGCACACACGTGCATGTGAGAGAGATGACAAAACAGAGTCGCAGACCGGACTCTGCTTTCATTTCTGTCACTTTGGGTTCTTTTGATGTTGTTTTGTCATGCAAATCCTCACACGCCCTGCTGGGTAGCAGTTAACTGCCCCCATTTTACAGATGGAGAAGCCGAGGCCAGAGAAGGAAAGGATAAGGCCTTTATTGATCGAACTTTATGGTCTAGATAAAGCCGACACTCAGGGTGACACAGTCTCATTTTAGTCTCCAAGCCGTCAGGGAAGAAGCTAAGATGCGGAGATATTAAGTGATGCTCAGGGTCCCCATTCCTAGTGGCCAGACAGGGACTAGAATTGCGTCTGGGCTTTTAGCCTGGGCTTTTTGCATTTAGAGCCACCAAGAAGGGAGTTTGGAAACGTGGACCACTTTCTACAGTTACAGTCCTGGGTGGTACGTTATAGGTTCCGTTTCCAATTCACCTACGGTGTTAACAACTAGGTGAAAGTAGGTAAAGAAGTGGCTGTGGAGATGGGTCCCCTTGCATTGGAACAAGATGTGACATGTGGCAGGCTCTGCCAGCCACTGGGTGTGCAGCTGGAGCTCGTGCTGGCTGACAAGGGCAAATGGTTACATTTTTTAGGATTGCCGTGAGCTCATGGCAAACCATAGGTGGCTTGAAACCATCTACAGTGGGAGTATTTACACTGCAGAAATGGGCAAATGCTACAAATCAGGGCTGTCCCCGTCCCGTGCTAAGAACCATTATGCCAGCACGCCACTCATTCCGAGCCAGTGTGACCTGTAACCTGGGATGGCACCCTCTGGGCAAAGCTCAGGGCTGACGAGAGAGACCCATGGGCTGGTTGGTTTATCACGAAAGAAAAACAATTCCCCGGGCTCGGCCAGGAGATGGTTAAGTCTGGCTGGCGGCTGACGGCTGTGGCTGCTGCCTCCTCACCCGGACCTAAGCCCAGCTCCCAGTCCCGCCCTTATCCCGACCCCAGACCCAGCTGCCACTGCCTGACCCAGACCACCCTGCAGTTATGACCGCCGCGCTCTCCCTGGGCCGAGCCCCAGACTCACCCAGGCCCTGTCTCCCTGCAGGTCCTACGTCTACGCCGGCCTGGAGGCGGGTGCAGAGTGCTACTGCGGGAACCGGCTCCCGGCGACCAGCGTCAGGCCGGAGGCGTGCAACCTGGAGTGCAAGGGCGAGAAGGGCTCCGTGTGCGGGGCCGTGGGCCGGCTGTCTGTGTACCGCGTGGACGAGCTGCAGCTGGGCCCCAGGAAGCGTGAGTGCGCCAGCCTCTCCCGCCCGCGCTCTGCCTTCCTTCCCTGCGCGCTCCGGGTGCCCCTTATCTGCAGCCTCCCCCAGGTCCAAACCGCGGGGGGCAGAACCTGTGCCCCCCTCCCTACCACCTTCACTGGCAGGCTCCCGGCGTGGTGGGGAGGGCTGGGCCCCATCAAAGACTCATGACCGAGGCACAGCTTTCCTTGTCCCCTGCAGGAGAGAGAAGTTAACTGGGTAGCGGGCCTGGGTCGGCCTCAGACGTGCTGTGTAAACCCCAGGCAGCTCACTTTCCTTCTCTGGGTTCCAGTCTGTTTTGTAAACTGCAGAGGCATACCTAGATTTCTGGCAACTATATGGACCAGAAAGTCTGAAAGTTCCCTAGCTTTAAAGCACCTAGAAATGCTGGATAAAATTTAACCGACATTATTTTAAGTATATAGCTGAACTAGCAGGAAAGCCAGGCAATCTCTGGGCCTGGAAAGGAAGAGAGAATGAAGAACCCCAGCAGGGAGCATTGGAGACGACTCCGTCCAGCCCGGTGTCAGCAGAGGGACACTGCCAGTCTGGGCGGCCGCTAGCGTTAGGTTTCAATGTCCAAGCAGGATAGGACAGGAGGCCTTGGGCCTCTCGAGGCAGTGAACGGATTGAAACTTCTAGCTAAAGTGGGCTTCGATTTTTACTGAAGTACAAATCAGTGAAAGTTAGATTTAAAAAAAAAACATACAACCCACCATGGTGTTCAGGGAGGTAGAAACAAAGTCTGTTTTGAGCTGAGCTTCTGGTGGAAGAAAAAAAAATCTTCCTAAGAATTGATAACCAAACAGGCCTGCATTTGTCTGAATTGTGGGATTCAAATTTGTGTTACCTGCCTGCAAGCTCCAACATAAAAGGTGGCTGAGGGCCACCTGGAGCCACCTGACAGGCAGATGCCAAATCCCTCTTGAGAGCCGTGCCTTCGGCCCAGGAGTGAGGGGCTGTCCCAGGTGAATTCTCACTGAACGCCGAGCTTGCGGTTCACAGCGATAGAACTCAGAGGAATTAAACAACCATGAGGGAGAGTCAGCTGATCCGTCAGACAGGAGGACTGGACCCTCAAGAATTTCAACCAAGAGTTCCATCAGATTGGAGATGGCACCTGCAGGGCCCAGCTTGGTGAGGTTGAAACTCAGGTTTGTCTTCACTGTGAGATAATGAGCCCAGGTCTACTTAATCTAGTCACAGCAGGCTCCTTTATGGAAGAATAGGGCCGCACACTTTTGCACATGTTTGGGGGCTATCCTTTCTGTGAGTGGGAGGGGGCAGGCTGGGAAGGGGTCAGAGCATGGGGACAGACCTCCCCCTGCCGCTGGCAAGGGTGGGACAGTGGTGATGGAGGCACAGCCCAGCGTCCAGGCATGCAGACTCATAGACACAACCGCCTCTGGCCACGGTCCTAGGGACAGGGGTCTGGGAGACGTGGTGGATTAGTTCCAAAATGGGGCAGAGCTCAGGTAAAGAGGTATCAGGTCAGCTCTGAGACTTCAGAGGGCTTTCTAGGACGACTGTCCTAGCAGTGAGTGAGTTTTCCATGCAGCTCGGAAGCCCAGCCCTGAGGACTGTCATTGAGCCTAAAGGCCAACCCTGGCTGGCCACAGTGCCAGGGACAGCAGCTCAGTGTTCGGCCCCAACCCACTGCAGCTTCTTAGCGGCTTCTTGCATTCAGACAGGATGTCGGGGAGCCGGGGGCCAAATGAGGCGATGGGGACAGGGTGAAGACGCTGATGACACACTCTTTAGCTTACGGATTCTCCGAGGAGGTCATTAACTCAACACATGCTCCTCAGCACCCACTGGGCACCGGGCCCTGACCTGGCACAGGGTCTGCTGTGGTGCACAGACACAGTCCTGCCCTGTCACCCGGACACCCTGGTGGGCTTCCTGAGGACCGAACTGCTCCACGCTGCCTTCTTGGATCTTTTATTCTTTGGGTTCAAACAACATCCCTGCCCCCAGTAGGCCCAGGCCTGTGTGTGGACTCTGGGCCGGCCCCGTCTGCCAGCTCCGTAATTGACTCTTGGAGACAGTTGTTTCGCTTCGGTTTGCCCATTGATTAAGGGACAGATGGCCCAGCCATTCAAGCCAGCCCCAGACCTCGAGTCTGCTAGACCTGCTGCCATGCTCAGCATGGAAAATGGTGCCGTCACCACCCTTTGAGCAGGCTGTGGAGCCCACCCTGTGCGGGTGACCTCTGCCTTCTTGCTCCCTTCCCGAGGGGAAGAGCTGACACAGGATCTCTGGCAAGAGGTAGCCAGGTGACACCAGCGTAAAGTGCAGGTTCTGGCTGCAAGTGAGCGACATTCATGAAGAGTAAGACCCACCGTGTGCTCCCCAGGCCGGAATCCGAGGTTGGTTCTGAGCAACTTGTCAACGTCTTCACCGTGGAGGTGTCATTCTGCCCTAAGTGGCACTCGGGCTCTCACCTGGGGAGCCAGGGAGCAGGGTGTGGAACAGGCCCACTCGGCGGAAACCTGTTCCCTGACAGCCGCAGCAGCCAAGTCGAGAGGCAGCTGGTGCCACCTCCGCTAGCAGCTCACCTGTTGCAGCGGATGCAGTGCCCTCGTGTATTTCGTCTCGTTCAGCTCATTCATCTGCTCAGCACGCATTGGGCACCTGCTGTGTGCAGGGACACAGGGCTGACCCAGATGTAGGCTCCCCCGGGAGCTCTGTCTGGAGGGCTCGTGGCCCCTCGCCCTGCTTCCCTGTGTCCCGGGGCTCGCTGGAACGTTGAGCACTCTGCTCTCCTGTGTCTTGCTGCCCTACTGACTCTCGCCAGGGTCTGCCCCACCCCAGCGGAGCTGGCCGAGGAGAGAGCCCGGTCCATCCAAACATGTGCTCTTTGGGGGCCCAGTCATGCCAAAGGACAGGAGGGCATTTGTGAGCCCGGCACCAGCCACCACCTCGGCCTGGACACAAAGGCCAGGGCAGGTGTGTGATGCTGGGGAGACACAGCCCATCGGGGGTGGCACGTGGGTGCGCATTGCTCCTCATCACAGCTCTGGGAGCTAGGCTGCGTGCGGGCGGGGAAAGGGAGAGTCTCTGTGTCCGTGACATGCAGAGCTGGTCACTGCCAGTGCCTGGACTTCCACCCAGCACCTGAGACCCCAAGCCCTAGCTGTGTCCCCACACAGGGCTGCTTTCCTGTTCCTGAGCCCTAATAGGTCGTGCCCTGACGTGTGGACCACTGGTGCTGTGGCCATTCTGGACGGGCTTCCAGATCCAGGGTTTGGTCCTGCTTGCAGATCCAGGCTGCTGCTGAGAGGGCTCCTGCTGTCACCAGCTAGTAGGGCAGGTGGAGACACCCAGGGGAGAGCTGAGTCCTGGGAGACCTGGTGTTGCAAGGAGCAGGGGGTAAGAATCACGATGCCATCTAGAGACACTCAGGCAAGTCTGGGAGAAATAGGAGCAGTTGGGTGCCAGAACATTCCAGAACGTTTGTTTAGCACAAAGGCAGCCGGCCGGGGAGCTAGACTTTCCCCCTGAAGGTCCGGAGAGCACCTTGGCAGGAGGCTGCCTTTGTGCCACGGGCTTGAGGAGTGTTCCTGGAACTCAGTGGGAGTCCAGGATCAGAGGGAGGCCAACCTTGTGAGGCAGCAAAGCAGCGGCGTGACTCGGATGGCACAGCGAGAGGGAGCGTGGCAGGAGTTCAGATTTATGTGTCTACTTTTAATACATGCTCTGGGAGGACATAGAATTTTCCAGAACATCAGCTTCTCAAGTCACCCGTTGGGGAATCTGGTCCCTAGTAAATGCGCAAATAAGGTTTGTCTCAGGAAGGGAGGACACCACGCCCAGAGACCTGGCAGGAGAAGCAAGACCTGAGCTTAGCAGTTTCAGCCAAGTGGTCCCCGTTGGCGACCCCGAGTGACCAAGGTCCCTCCCACTGCCTGGATTCCCTCGGGAGCTTGGCTTGACTGCTCCCCTCCCAGGGGCAGCTTCCCTCCCTGGTTTGAAGTCGGCCCCTCCTGAGTACATTTGCCTGTCTCGGCATCCCGAGCCGGCATTTCCCCTCGTGACAGGGACCAGCACCCGGGGCCACCACTTCTCACCGGAAACCCACTTCCCTCCCCGCAGGGCGGACCGCCACCTACCGCGGGTGCTTCCGACTGCCAGAGAACATCACACACGCCTTCGCCGACTCCCTGGGACAGGCCAACGTGACCGTGGAGACGTGCTCGGGATTTTGCTCCCAGAAAGTAAGACCCGTGACAATTCCACGACCCTTTTCCTTTAACAATCCCGTGTGTGCGGTGGTGCCCAGAGGGGGGGGGGGGGGGGCGGGCGGGCGCCTGGGCTGGGCTGTGGGTGTCCACTCCGGAAGCCCGGGTGGGAGCTGAGGATGGAGGTGGACCATACGCTGGCGTTACGGAGGGTGCCAGCAGGGAGCCCGGCGCCTGATCAGTGAGTCAAGGCTGGGTGGTGAGCTGTCACCAGAGGTTGTAAAGCTGAAAGGAGCATGGCTCTCTGGATGCAAGCTGTTGGCATAAGTGTCAGATGTTAAATTGACTGGGTTTGGAAGCAAGAAGATGCTGGCTCGGGACCTGGGGAGAGCTGATGGATTTTCTGTTACTTGCGCCGACAGTGCTGAGCTGTGACTCTGACTGCAGGGGCCGTAGTCACACCTGCACCTTTGGTTCCACCTGGGCTGAGGAGTGGAGTGTGGCTCTGTGCAAGGGCTGGGCTGGGCACCACAGGCCACCGTCCCTGCCCGGCATGCTAGCTCTAGGGTGGGGAAAGTCTGTCAAGGCCGGGTGGGGCTTGCAAAAGGCAGGGCTGGGAGTGTGTGAAGCCAGGCTGGGGTGACCCAGCAGACTGTGTCCTAAAGGTCTCGGGCAGGAGTGCAGCAGTCTGCAGAGTGGGGTGGATGCTGTGGCTCTAGAAATGGCCTTTGGTGGCTGCAGGCTGGGGGCTATGGCTGTCACACACGTGCTGGGGTGCAGTAGCCTTGACTTGGCTGTGGTACGTGGCAGCATGATAGAACAGGGATAAGGGGAGAGCAGAGCTTTGCCATGATAATGGTGATGATGATGATGATGATGATGATGATGATGATGGCGGTGGTGATTATCAACAGAAGCTAACATTTATTGACCATTTATTCCATGCCAGGTACTGGCCCAAGCACTTTACATGTGTTAACTCATTTCATCCTCGTAGCAATCATAGGTACCACGATCGTTTGCATTTTGCAGGTGAGGAAACTGAGGCAGAGAGCTTGAGCAGTCTGCCCGAGGTCACACAGCCAGCACGTGGTGGAACTGGGCTGTGAACTCAACCAGCTCCATAGCCTGCAGTGGGTGTGAAAGGCACAGGGGCTGGTGGGCTTCGATGGGAGCAGCTGTGATTGGCCCTGCAGGAGCCAGCGCATCCTCTGCTGCCCCAACCCCTCCCCCCACTTCCTGTGCTTTCTGCTCGCCCAAGTGCATCCTTTGAAGTGGCTCTCCTGCGTCACCAGCATTTCCAAAGCCACTGCCAAGGATGTCTTGGGTGTCAGGGCTCCTGTGACAGGATGCGAGCCAAGAAACAGTTTATTGATTCGCAGACATCTGGCCTGGGGACCTCTTCTTCCTCTCTCCCCCTCGTGGGAGCAGAGCTCTGGGTGGAGGCAGCAGGGAAGCCCGCTCAGCTGCCCGGCCCCCCGCTCACATGCACACGGCGAGCAGCCATCCTCCCGGGGCTTCCCTCGCACCTGAAGCTCAGAGAGGTTCCCCAGAGAGACCCCCTCATCAGAATCAAAGGGACTCCGCTGGTCCAGGCGGGCTGAAGGCAGGCCTCCGTGGGTCCTTGGGGGAGTCCTGCTGTGTGCTGGGCGCTGGGCTGGGGCTGTCGTCCTCCCGGCGGCTCCCACAGGGGAGATGTCAGGTCCGCGTGTGCTACAAGAGGCAGAGCAGGTCTGCAGAGGTGGGAGCCTTCACACAGGCACAGAGCGACCGAGTGGCTTTGCAGCCGGCTCCTGACACCACAGCCAGTGCTCTCGCATGCTGCTGCCTGTCGTGTGACAGAGGGGGGAAGAGACAGAAAAGATGAGAAGGAAGAAGAGCAAAGGAAAGGGACGGCTGTCACAGCCACATGCCCTTAGCGATGCAGCTTGGTTCTGAGTGGACAACATGCACGCATGGAGCACAATAGAAACATGCCAAGGGGCATAGAGGGGAACCCTTCCTCTCGCTCCGTGTCTTCTCCACCCATTTTCCTTTCTTGGAGGCAGCCGATAGTCCTGGCTTCCAGAGAGACACTGATGATTCAAGCAATTGCATCTTTGTCTGCTCCAATATGAGCCCACAGACAGTAGCAAGCTACACAAACGCCCTTCTACAATGAACTCTTCGCTGGACAATCTCAGAGATTGTTCCACCCCAGTACAGAAGGTGCCTTCTCGTTCTGTTTTCCCACTACACAGATGTCCTATAATTTATTTAACCACTTCCCCACTGCTAAGCACTCAGGTTGTTTCCAGTCTTTTGCTTTTACAAACAACGCTGCAATGACTACCCCTGTGCGTACGTAGAGAGAATCTGCAAGAAGAAAATCGCTCAGCGATGCTGGGTCAAAGAGCGTGTGTCTTTGTCGTTTTGGTAAACTTTGTCCAGCCGCCCTTGGCAAAGGTTGCATTGTACCAATTCCGTGGCCCTCTCAGTAACATGGGAGGAGACAAGCCACCCTGGTAATCCGTCTTTTTTGGGGGGGAGGGATTCAAAGCTTCATCCTAGGCAGATGCCCAGTATTCTGTGGTGTCTCCTCCTGGGCAGCCCATTAGGGCCCAGAGAGTTCTGCCTTGTGCTTACAGACGAGAATTTAAAGCTGTAAAACTCTTCAACTTCTATTTTCAGCCTTTCTTCATATTTACTGGCACAAGTCCAGGCTGCTGCAATTTCACACTGGAGCGTGTGCCAGAACGTCCCCGCAGGCTCTTGGTGTCTGTGCCGTTTTGCACCTTAGCACCTTGCCCGTGTGCCCTCACGATGCGTTTCAAGGACAGGTTACCTGCTCGGCTCTGGCTGGTGCAGCTGGGAACCGTTCAGGCCGGGTAACACGGGAAGGGCGTCCGGGGTTCTCAGAGCTCACGGATTCACTGGAATCCGTGCCGACACTTGCTCCTTGTCCTGGCGCCTCTGTATTGTCGGATGGGGGCGTGTCCTCGGGTCCCATTGTTGGGAGCTGCAGGATTCCGCAGCTGTGAAGAACAGTCACCATCTCCAGCAGTACAGTTGGAAGTGGGTCTCGGCAGAACACAGTCAGTGGGATTTGCAAAACGCATATGCTGACACGTACAGTGGCAAAGCCATGTGCCGGGCGCCCCGACACGTGGCAGAGTGAGGTCACTGCCTGAAGAGGGTGAAGAAAGCTTGGAAGGAGGCTGAGAAGGGCTGAGGGTTGCAACTTTGGGGAAGGGGTGGAGCTGGAGGGTGCAGGACTGTGTCCCCAGGCAGCTGAGGGGGGTGAGGAGTGCACTGCAAGGGAGGCAGCTGCTGAGCAGGAAGGGGGCGGTGGAAAAGGAGCCCAGGTGGCCCAGAGTGGAGGGTGACTTGGGGTGTCATCAAAGGTCAGGTGGGGACAAACCTCAGAGGACCTTGGATTCTGCTCCTTTTCCGTGGCAGGGAGGGTGGTATGGCCGGGATAGCACTTTACAGCTGCAGGAGGAGCAGGGAGAGGGCGCGAGCTGATAAAGGAGGGAGCACATCTGAGATACATGCAGGGACAGAATCCACATGAGGGGAGGTGGGGACACAAAGGAAGGAAAAGTGGGAGGGGGAGTCGTGGGCCGGACAGGGGTGGAGGAGAGCTGACCTGGCCAGTGGGGGAGGGGAGTCCCCGGGCACCCTCCTGGGAGGCAGCATGCCTCAGGCCACCCTCGGAGATGCCTTGGCAGAGCTGCCAGGGAGGTCGGCCTGAGATCTGGTTCTGGAGTCAGGGATTCCAGCGGGGCAGGAGCGATGCCCCGATGTCATGCATTCAGCTAAGAGCACCATCTGCCCAGCAGTGAGCCCTTGGTTCCCAGACTGTCCATCCGTTCCCCCCGTCTCACCTTTGGATGTTGGTATAACTTGGACTTGAGCCTTCTGTGCTGTTGGCCCCTCAGCTCTGCAGGGCCCTAGAGGGGGCTCTGCTGGAATCCCCACTTCCCCTTAGAACAGAGTCTCTCAACCTTGGAACTGTTGACGTATGGGTTGGATAATGCTTTGTTTCAGGATCTGCCTGTACATGGCGGGGTGTTCAGCAGCATCCTGGCCTCTACCCACTAGTTGCCAGTAGCACCTCCCCACGCCACCCCCAGCTGTTACCAAACTGTCCCCAGACATTGCCAAATGTCCCCTGGAGGGCAAAATCGCCCTGGTTGAGAACTATGGCCCTAGGGAGCCCTCCTGAACATGTTGAGCGACAATGCCCAGGCAGGGCCGCATTTCCCAGGGGGCTGAGTCCTGGTGAACAACGGCCAACGCTCTGGTGAGGATGAAAAAGCAAATTCTGCCTCCAGCATGAGGTCTGGAGGACGTGGAATCAGCCGGAAGTTCATCTGGCCCGGCCTGCAGAGGCCAGGGACTTAACTGCAGGGAATGGTTTCCCCCCTTCTCTCCTGAAGGTGGGGGTGATGAGAGAGGTGAATTCGAGGATGTACTTTCCTGCTCTGAAGTGCAAGCACGTCCTCTCCGGAAAGGCGGGTGGCACGGGGGCTGCAAGGGCCGTCCCGGTGGCAGCTTTATCTCATCCTAATTTGGCTGAAAAACACAAGCTCAAACGCCCTGTGATGTGGGAATGGTTAAATTATGCCACAGCCATGCAGTGGACTATAATACAGCCATTGAAAATGTTTTCAAAGACTTTCATGATGGGAAACGCTCACAGTAGAATGTTAAATGGGGCAGAGCTGAGCCTGGGGCTGGGGGGCGAGGGGCTTAATGAGGGCTGGCTGGGCAGTGGGGCCAGAGCAGCAGATGGGAGAGGTGGGGCTTGGAAACAGGAAAAGCGGGGAGGCTCCTTGCGGCGCCCCCACTTTTGAGCACCCTCTGAGGCTTATTTGTGGCCCCAGATAAAAATCTCTACTGTTTTTCGCTAGTTAGCAAAAATGGATTTGGGGAGCTCCAAGGGTGCCGTTTGACAGAAAAAGAACATTTTCGGGCAGTATCGGCATCTTAATGATCTGATTCTCTGCCAGCAAGAGGGACTTGACCAGTGTAATGTGTTTCTAAAGCCCAGT